GTGTCCGTCCCACCCTCACCCCACTGTGGGACCCCTCCATGTCCATCCCAACATGTCCATCCCCCCCACCCCACTGTGGGACCCCTCCATGTCCATCCCAACGTGTCCATCCCCCCCACCCCACTGTGGGACCCCCCCAGGCCGTACCCGAGGCTCGGGGTCCCGCGCGGCTCTCGGGCTCCTTGAAGGGCACCACGAGCGTCGTGTCCAGGGCCTTGAAACAATCCCTGAGGGAGCTGCGCCGGTAGAACTCCACCAGCTCCTGGGGGACACGGGGACACCACGGGGTCACCAACCCCATGGGGTCACCAACCCCACAACACCCCTGAACCCACCGGGGGGGGGGGGAAACAACCCCCTAAAACACCCCCAGAGAGCACTGGGGAGGCACCACACCCCAAAAACCCCCAACCCCACTGTGGGGTCATCACCCCCAAAACACCCCCAGAGCCCATCAGGGAGACACCACCCCAAACCCTGCAGTGGGGTCATCACCCCCACAACAGCCCCTGAACCCACCGGGGGAAAATAACCCCGTAAAACACCCCCAAAGAGCACTGGGGAGGCACCACACCCCAAAAACCCCCAACCCCACCACGGGGCCATCACACTCAAAACACTCAATCCCCCAAATCCCCCCGGGGGGGTCCCGCAGCGCTGTGGGGTCTCTGGGGGGGGGTGTCCCTCACTCACCACCAGCCCCTTGAACACCTTCTTGTCGGTGACCCTATAGAGCCCCTCCCCCGTCATCACCTTGATGTGCTTCACCTCCCCGCGGTACCTGAGGGGGGGACACACCCGTGGGGGGTCACCGGGGACTCTGTGAGTCCCCCCCCGACCCCAAAAAGGGGTTCCCCGGGCCCTACTTGATGCTGATGGCGAATTCCCCCGAATCCTTGACCCGCTGCCGCACCAGGAACGCGCCGTCGGAGCGGGGGGCCAGGACCTGCTCCGCCCCCCCCCCGCTCCATGGGACCCGCGTACCTGCGGGGGAAGGGGCGTCACGGACCCCAAAGAGCACCCGCGGGGGGAGTTGAGCGCTCTGAGACCCCAAAGAGCACCCACGGGGCGGTTTGGGGGCTCAGAGACCCCAAAGAGCACCCACGGGGGGGCTAGGGGGGGTTCGGGGGCTCTGAGACCCCAAAGAGCACCCACGGGGGAGCTCGGGGGGGTTTGGGGGCTCTGAGACCCCAAAGAGCACCCACGGGGCGGTTTGGGAGCTCTGAGACCCCAAAGAGAACCCACGGGGGAGCTTGGGGGGGTTCGGGGGCTCAGAGACCCCAAAGAGCACCCACGGGGTGGTTTGGGGGATCTCAGACCCCAAAGAGCACCCCCGGGGGGTTCGGAGGCTCTGAGACCCCAAAGAGCACCCACGAGGGGGTTTGGGGGCTCTGAGATCCCAAATAGCACCACGCCCCCTGCTCTGGGGGGTTTCGGGGGCTCTGAGACCCCAAAGAGCACCTACGAGGGAGTTCGGGGGCTCAGAGACCCCAAAGAGCACCCACGGGAGGGTTCGGGGGGTCTGAGACCCCAAATCAGCACCACCTGCACCAACATGGGGGGGCTCGTGGAGGGAGAGGGGCCCAGAGGAGGATGTGGGGTGTCCTAGGGCAGGATTTTGGGGTCCCAGGGTCAATGGGGGGCCCAGAGGAGGATTTTGGGGGGCCCAGGGGCAACGGGGGGCCCAGAGAAGGATTTTGGGGGGCCCAGGGGCAATGGGGGGCCCAGAGGAGGATTTTGGGGTCCCAGAGGAGGATTTGGGGGTCCCAGGGACAATGGGGGGCCCAGAGGAGGATTTTGGGGTCCCAGAGGAGGATTTGGGGGATCCCAGGGGCAATGGGAGACCCAGAGGAGGATTTGGGGGTCCCAGAGAAGGATTTTGGGGTCTCAGGGGCAATGGGGGTCCCAGAGGAGGATTTTGGGGTCCCAGAGAAGGATTTGGGGAGGTCCCAGGGGCAATGGGGGCCCCAGAGCAGGATTTTGTGGGGGGCCCAGAGGAGGATTTCGGAGTCCCAGAGGAGAATTTTAGGATCCCAGGGGAGGATTTGGGGGCCCCAGGGGAGGATTTTGGGATTCCAGGGGAAGATTTCAGGATCCCAGGGACAATGGGGGGTACCAGAGGAGGATTTTGGGGTCCCAGGAGCAATGAGGGGCCCAGAGGAGGATTTTGGGGTCCCAGGAGCAATGGGGGGCCCAGAGGAGGATTTGAGGGATCTCAGAGGAGGATTTTGGGGGGTCCCAGGGGCAATGGGGGTCCCAGAGGAGGATTTTGGGGGGTCCTAGAGGAGGGGTTTGGAGGGTCCCAGAGGAGGGTTTGGGGGGCAGTGGGGGGTCCCCAGCACTGACCAGGGGTACACGGAGAGATCCGGCAACGGCACCTGGGGGGGGGAGGGGACAGAGTTGGGGTTGGGGGCGGGGGGAGGACACACACATGAGGTGACCCCTCCGAGACACGCCCCCCAAATCCCGGGACCCCCCAAATCCCGGGAACACCCAAACCTCCTGTGGGGAC